TTGTGGCGGTCGAATATTCTAGAATGTCCGGCCGCCGCCGCCTCTAGAAGATTCCTCTGACTATTTAAGGGCAAGATCATCGCTCCAGTCAGTCAGTCGATCAGTCAATCACTTACGCATTCTGTCTTACACGCGCTTCGTTTCTCGCTGTTATTAGTTCGTTGTAATACAGTTCGTCTCTCGCTGTTATTTGTTATTTGTTAGTTCGTTGTAATTAATATAGTATAGTTGTTATTAAATCGTAAAAGTGTTTATTACTTCTATATATTACACCTCGCTACATTGGTGACCTCGACGATAACAAGTATGAACGCCGAAGAACTACGCAATCAATTGGAGGAGTTACGCCAAGAAAACGCTCGCCTTGCAGCACTACAGGCACAGCAATATCCAACAGCTTCAGTGAATCGCGTTGCNGCAACAGCTTCTGTGAATCGCGTTGCCGTCAAGTTGCCACCTTTCTGTTCCGAAAGACCGAGCTTATGGTTCTCACAGGTTGACTCGCAGTTTGCAATCTCGGGAATAACAAGTGAGGAAACAAAATTTAATTATGTTGTGGCTCAGCTTGATACGCGTTACGCCGCCGAAGTAGAGGATATTATTACTAACCCACCGCCTACTGAACGCTACAAACATCTACGCGCAAAACTTGTTGAACGGTTGTCTATCTCAGAAGAACAACGTGTGCGGCAACTCATCAATGAAGAAGAACTAGGTGACCGTAAGCCATCACAGTTCTTACGACATCTCCGTTCCCTTGCCGGCACTACTACATTACAAGACAATATTTTACGTCAACTTTGGCTCCGCCGTCTACCATCACATGCACAAGCTATTTTAACTGCACAATCAGAGCTTCATCTGGGTAAGGTAGCCGAGCTGGCTGACAAAATTGTTGAAGTGCAGCCAGCCCCCTCGCAATTCGTCCATGCTGTTGCCACGACGAACAATAAAAAGGAACTCGATGTTTTAGCTGCCATTGAAGCACTCACAAAACAGGTAGGCGAATTATGTGCTAAACGCCCGCAACGTTCCCACTCTAGGTCACGTAACCGTTCAAACGTGGAACTGACTAACGGCAAAGGATGGTGTTGGTATCATAGCACT